GCAGAGGACCCACCCCTCCAGAGCAGCCCCCCCTCCAGTACCCCCACAATCCACCCACACCTACTCACATACCCCATGCCCCCCCACATCCTTCCACAGCCACCAACATCCCCCTATCCCCCTTCCCACCCCCATCCTGCAAACCACACATCCCCACAGCACACACCCCGCATGCCCAACTGCGAGACAGGATGAGACCTGCTGGCAGGAGCTGTGGCTGCCGGGGCAGCTGTCTCCACATCCTGGTTAGTGAAGGGGTCACAGGGAGCTCTAACTGCTCTATGGTAAGAAAACCGAAGGCAAACAGCAAAACATATAGGTATTTAGAATTCATTTTATTATGATGATAAAGACACCGGTAGGCTATCAAATTGCTTTAACTCTGTAGATATATCAATAAAACATTGCCCAACTGATTGCTGTCTCTCACTCTCTCTCTCTCTATGTATAGTGGTCTTTTAATTGTGGAGGAACATGGATTTCGGGGTATTGAGTGACTTTGGGATTTTTTTATCAGGGGTTTTTCAGTTTTCAAATAGGGAACACCAGAATTCCTGCTAGAGGCGCAAGTGGTAGGACCCAGGCAGAGGAGCCTGGTCAGAGCTGGCACCTTGGACCCAGCTGGAGGTGGCTGACCTCCTGGCCAGTTTGGGCAAGGAGGACATGCTTTGACGGTTCAAAGCAGGCCACCACACTGGAAACATCTTCCAGGCAATAGCTGCCCAGATAGCCAGGCATGCATGGCAGTAGTGCCGCACAAAGGTCAACTCTGCAGCCACAGCCCACTGGCAGCTAGCACAGAGGGGCAGATGCCTCTGCTGGCTGTGCAGTCCACATCCGGGGTCCGCAGTGTGTGTGTATAGAGTGATCTTTTGTCTTAATTGTGGAAGAACATAGATTTTGGGGTATTTTTAAAAATGGATTTGGGATGCTGCAGCAGTCCAGCTGGCACACGGGGTAGTGTCCCCAGGTACCAACTGGCTGAGCCCCAGAAGCTCCTGAGAGCAAGTAGCCCTCAGCTACTTGCCAGGGCAGTGTTTTGTACTGATGGGGCCAGGACAGGGCAGCTTTTCATGCTGCTGGGGACAGCACAGGTGCTGGCCCTGGGCTCTAGCTTCCCTTGGCTGCAGATCCAGGAGGAGCCAGGCAGGGTTATTTTGCCCCAAGTGGCACAATTTTCCTCACACCAAAGTGCATGTCCAGGCGTGTGTGCTGAGGCATAAAGCCCCATTTCAAATTTGTGCCGCTTCTGTTTGAGCTGCTGCAAGTGCACGTGCTTGCATGTGTGGACACGCCCTACAGGTTTTTCAATGCAAGCTCTCACCAAGGTGTCTAACTAAAATATTGAAATCAGTTAATTTTTAAATTAGAAATTCAAAATCTATTTTTGTGGACCCTGTGTTTCCTTTCCTGTTGAATGGACTCCTGAATGTTTTTACAATGAAAAGTTAAATGGGCTGGGATGTTTATGTCAGTTGCATTTATTTATAACAGGTTTCTTCAGATACTGGAATTTTGCAGCCTTTCAGTGCAGAGGAGTTTTATTCAGCTTCTTTCGATTCTACTGTTACCCCAAAAAAAGTTTTCTTATCCACACTAGCACCTCCTCCAGAACCACCTGATCCAAAAACATGTAAGTAAGGGTTTAAAATAAGGTGTTTACTTTGTTAGGAACACAGAGAGTATGGAGCAGGCAGCAGAGAGCACCGGCAATATTACGTGTGGTGCAGAGGGAAAGAAAGCATCCCATTACAGCACAGAAGGGTAAGCATAGCTACATGTGGCTACTATTCCTGACCATGGATGAGGAACTGAAGAAACACCTATGACTTTGAAAGGGGTATTGTTACTCCAGGAAAAAGAAAAAACCTTGAGCCATTTTTTTTACTGCCTTCCACAGCATGTTGGGCTATGCCTACAAGTCAGCTTGTCATGGGGAAGGATACACATGATGGCACATTAGGTTATATTGTGCTGTTATTTACCATAGTTTCTCACATATAACATGCCTCCAAACATTATACACAGCTTGTTTTTTAAACAAATTATGAAGAAAAATAAACCTATGTTATGACTTCAGAGAACAGGGATAGAGCCTAATCCTTATCTGACTCACCCTCTCTTTCTGCTTAACTAAAACCCCACAGTGCCTATACACAAGCAAGGAGGTTGCACTAATATGCTGGAATTCCACCATGTTGGAGAAGACTCGATTAATAGAGTCTGCTGGAATGTTGCAATTACTGTGCTCCAGCTGCCTGCCACATCTCGTGTATTAGTGTCCCTGGGCTTCAGAATGGTGGTGGGCACTTTAAAGTGCATTCGATGAGCTGCTGCCATTTTGAAGCACAGGGACGCTGATAGAAAAGACGCTCTGGGTGCTTTAATTAGAGTGGCTCTCAGAGCCACTCTAATTAAAGCGCCTCCTCCCACTCTCGGAGTGTGTGTATAAATGCCCCTGGTTGCTGCTGAAGACTAGCCTCCATGGGTGGGCCTCTGATCTTGAAAAGAGCTAAAGAGCTGTGTGAGGGGCAAGACTTTGGTTGGGTGATGTTTTTTATGGATCAACTATGTAGCTGGGATAAATTTAGACAAGCTTTCAAATGCAAGACATTCTTTGTCAGGTCTCTGATCACAGGAACCAGGCTCCTCCACTCCAGTCCCCTTCCTCTGCCCAGTCTACAGCTTAGCTTTCTGCTCCCTGCCCAATCTGATGCTCTGCTTTCTGCTTCCTGCCCTGTGCTCCAGTCCCAATCTGCTGTTCTGCTTTCTGCTTCTTGTCCTATCTTGCTGTGCTGCCTGTTCCCTCTTTGATCTACATATGCTACACATAGAATTAGGCTGCCCATGCCACTTGTGGTAGGTTGGCCACCCCTGCCTTAATGTATAATTATACAAAGCTATTACAGACATTACCGTCCTCTTTACCTGTATGTGGCTTTTCATTCAGTCATTTTTATTACAACAGGAGAAAGGCAAGCATTTTCTCCCTCTGATCTTAATAAAGTCAAACCAGTATCAATAGATGAAAGCTATCATAGATTCTGAAACCTTTCAGGTTATAATATCTTTCCCCAGCTGTTTTTATTCCAACTATATTCAACCTCTGAATCATTATTGTCCCATCTTCATTGTTCTGATTTCAGCTTTTCAAAATTCACAGTCCCAGGAACCATATATCTTCTTCTAGGTATTTTGCACTTTACCCTTCATTTTGTCTTTTATCCCTCACGTTTTTCATCTCTTATTCCATATGCCTTCTCTTCCATTTACAGTAACCCATTAAAATGTCTATTACTGGTAGCGAGAAGCAGTAATATTCTGAAGTCTTGATGTATGGTACTCTTCCATTTATGAACATTCACTAGTAGTGTCTGTTGAGAAGGATAGATTAGGAGTGTGCAGCGATGAACAAACCCTTTATTCCTACGCTGAATTCTCAGGAGACAAACATTTAACAAAGTATCTTTACTTCCCACATCAAGACCTGAATGTTTAGAGCAGTAACAGTCAAGACTCTGGACTGAGGACAGCAATTCAAGTGTTGAGCACAGACAGTTCTTTTACCAGTCCCAAGATTTCTAAATTGCTCTGAGCTGGGCTAAGTACAGACATCTGGGGAGGTTAAATTGGGTTCAAAATGGCCACCTGATTTAAACTTGGCTTGTCCCAGTGCCGACCTTACACTTAGAGAACTGGTTCGTCTCAGTGACCGGCAATCAGTCTAAACCTGTAACTGAACAGAAGTTCCATCACACAAACTGGTCTAAAAATTGCAGAACCTGGTTTAGTATAAGCCTGGAACTATGTCATATCAAAATTATTCTACTTAGGTCAAACTGGTGCACGCAATTTCTATATGTTTTCCCTGCACAGCCCCAGGGGCTGGGAAAACCTAGCCACTGGCCCTAGCCCCAGGCCTATTCTTTTCATAGATTCATAGATTGTTAGGGGCTGGAAGGGACCTTGCAAGTTCATCGGGTCAGCCCCCCTGCACTAGGCAGGAAAGATAACTGGGGTCAGGTGACCCCAGCGAGGTGACCTCTTGAAGATGTCCAGGGTGGGTGATTGCACCACCTCTGGAGGGAGCTTATTCCACAGTATGGCCACCCTGACTGAAAAAGTTTTTCCTAGTGTTAAGCCTGAAATGGTCTTTCAGGAATTTGTGGCCATTACTCCTGGTTTTCCCCAAGGGTGCCCGATGTAGCGGTAAGCTGCTACCAAGTCCCCTCTCAGCCTTCTTTTTTTAGGCTGAAGACACCCAAGTCCCTCAGCCTTTCCTCTTATGGCTTGCCTTGCAAGTCTCTGATCATACGGGTGGCTCTTCTCTGGAATCTCTCAAGTTTTTCTACATCCTTGTTGAAGTGTGTTTCATCCTCCCTCCCTGCACTGGGCTATTTTTTGCTCCTTCTGCCCCCTTGGTCCCCTCATACCCTGGCCCTGATCAGGCAGCCTTCTCAGCCCCCGTCCCACAAGCTGCTCTGGGTGCAGCCAATTTTATCAGCATTTGCCACTGCTGGAACCAAGCAAGCAAGTCCCGGTGGGAGGAGGGGCAGGAAAGATGGGGGTATAAGTTTGCTGGTGGGGGGACTCCACCCCACCCATGGGTCATGCTTGCTATCCCACCCCTCACATGTTGTACCTGCCCACCCCTGATAGGTTGCACTGGCCCTGTCCACCCCACCCACAAGTTATGCCAGCCCTGCCCCTCCACCCACAGGTTGTGCCAGGCCCCCAACCCCACCCCACCTGTCAGTCTTGCTGGCCTGCCCACTCCACTTGTGGGTCGCACCTACCCCCATATCCCCAAGCAGATCCTTGATCCCCTCCAGCCTGTTAGACCCCCACTGCCAACCACCCACCATCCTGCCTTACCTGATATTGGACAGCCATTTTGATCTGATTTAACTTTCCCCTAATACCGCCTAGCCCGGAAGGCTAATCAAAATTGGTCTGCACTTGGTATGCCATTTACTGGAGAATGTTGAGTGCTCATTTTCAGTGCTCTAAAATATTTCTTCTCCAGGTTCACAGTCTGGACAGATTAGAATTTTGGAAAGGGTTCTTTTTTCTCAGTGACTTCATTGTCTTATGTTGGATTTTTCATAGGAGTCAAAGGGAGTTAGTCTAAATGTCACTGAAATGTGTGAGTTGGACATCTATCTCCTTTAGTTTCCTTTAAGAACTTAACATTGTAAATTATTATAGAATTATAATAATTGCTAACAAATTGCCCATCAAGAATGACAGGGGGGGAGGGAGGTTGTGTCCAGCCCCACGCCCCTCTTCCCTGCCCTCCCCACCCTGCTCTGGGTCCATCCCTGCTCCACCCCCTTCCCCCTCCCGCTGCTTCCAGTCTAACCCCCACTCCCCTCGCTGCTTTGGGTCTGACCCTGCTTCCCCCCTCCCCCTGCTGCTTCGGGTCCAACTCCGCTTACCCCCCTCCCCATGTTGCTTCAGGTCCGACCCCACTCTCGCCCTCCCCCCCTGCTGCTGTGGGTCAGCCTGGCCCGCATCTGCCTTTCTCGCTGCTCTCCTCCCTGCCCACCAGCCCCCCACTCCCTGCTGACTGTTCTAGGGGGCGCCGCCACCATTATCCCCCTGCTTCACTCTCAGGCAGGGAGGCGGGGGGAAGCCCCACTGCTTGGGCTACTGGTGCATATTCCCTGCTGCCAAACTTCCCCAGCAGCAGAGCAAACTTAGACCCGCGCAGCCCAGGCCACCCAGCCATTCACCAGTGCCCTCTCAGTGGTGCATACTCAGTTGACTAGAAGCATTATGGATAGACAGACACACAGACAGACAGACTGAGCCTTTTATTATATTAGAATCGTAATAATTACCAAGATTGTCCTGTCAAGCACCCAGTTTGTGTCTATATTATATTATATTATATTATATTATATTCATAGCATTATCTGATATATCACCAGTTAATAATATTTCATGGGAGAGAGATAAATATCTTTCTCGGGTGATATATCAAATAATGTCACAAATTAGATAACTACAGTTCTTACTATCCAACAGAGTAAGAGAATACTAAAACTGGTTTAGTCACTATGTTGTTAATCACCGAGTTTTTTCATTAATGTGACCTACACGTTATTGAAATATTTCTTAGGAATGGTGCTCTGATTTGATTTATCTTTATCTTCAAGATTATTAAAAACAAAAAAGTAGGTCAGTCTGTTCTCAGCTAAACCAGCGATGCTAATGGATATACAGTGACATAAATACAGAGTAACTGAAGGCAAAAATTCACTTGCTTAATACAAATGTTAAATAATTTATGTACACTGTATCACGTGGTTTGAAATCCTGTTAAAGTTTGAGGTCTAGTGAGTCTTTTTTTCTCTTTAAAGATTCAGGTGCTTTTTACAAGATACGTGGTTTTGGCCTAATACTGTTTTTGTTGAAACTAATAGGAGCTATACCACTATCCTTAATTAGAGTAGAATTAGATCAACAACTCTGCATTTTGCAATTCTAGTCTTAAAACTCTGTATTATATTTAAACATATATATGAACTCTCTCCACTTCAAGGAGAACAACCAGGAGTTACCGTTGTCTGAAGATGTGTTAGAACACATCCAGCAGGACCCTAAAGTCCAGATCCCATCTCAGTATTTCACTTCCAAGGTTGCAGGACTGGCAAGCTAGGTGGGAAGCAAACCTTGAAGCTGACAGGTTCGGAACTGCACTGAAGGAGACCCAATGGCAAATTTGTTAGGTTTTTCTGGCCTTTATGTGGATAGCTCATGATGTAAATCCTTTTAAAAATGGAGATAAAAGAGAGAAATCAAAGCCACCCAAAATGCAGATTTAAGCACTCTCATCTCATCTCTTGCTTCTGTCTAGGAATTCAGCTTCACAACCAATGACTTTAGTTTGTGAAGAAACAAACAAAAGATGGAAAGATACTGTTCGGAGAGGTTGGGGAGAAAGCACTGACTTTTGAAACTTAATTAAGTTTATATATTTTTTGTGGCTTAAGAAAAATGAAATAGATTTTGTAAATAGATCTACATTGAAAGAATCTTATGTTTAGCACAAGCTGAAATGGAACTGATAAAATTTATTATGTTTGGGGGTTTTTTAATGTTATTTCAAATGGATGTCCTTTTCTCCATATAATCCTTGTTTAAGTGGGAAAATGTATTGTTTTTGTCCAGGTTCTCCAAGAGAATACTTAGAATATTATATATTTCCAATACTTTTACCAGGAATGGCTGAACTGCTACATCGAGCAAGGAAGGAAAAGTGTTTTGAGGTTAGTTCTTAGCGTTCAATTTAAGAGTTATTTTAGGAAGTCATAGCCTTCAAATGAAATGTGTCTCTTTCATTATTTTGTTTTATAAGCAAAATAACTACAATAACATAAAATAATGTATTATATATCATTATGGAATTATTATAGCATTAAGACATTATACACAGGCTTTCTTCCAGTAACTTAGAACAGATTGTTTACTACATAACACCCATCAGCATGACAAGCCATAAGTTGTGGCTTTTCGCACACCACGCTTTTTTAAACATCCAGTTGTATGTAGCCCAGAAAACTTTAAAACTTTCTAATTAACACTGGGAGTCACTTATTTAATAATGCATTAATAATGTCACAGTGTTAATAATGCTGCCATTCATTTTCACAAACGTACTCTTAAGCTGTCAGTGTATATTTAGTCTTAGCGATCCAAGTGCTGCTCCCTTTTTATGCTTTGCAATCCAGGGTTCTAGACTTGTACCTGAGCACAGAACTTGGACTGTCATATCCCTAGATTGTTGGGGTTTAATTTACAATAGAATTTTTAATAGTTTTCTATGTGATTTACTATTACTATTGTCTCTCTTGCCCTTATTTATAAGAATCTGCCTAAATTATTCTCCTGTAACTCCAAAGGGGAAAAAAATCAACTGAAAAAGTATGGATTAACATGTTCTAGTGAGAAATGCATACCAAATGTTTAATTTAATAAGATGAAAACTGTTGTCTACCCTTCATAACAGCAATGAAGCAGAGGTCATTTCTTTGACTGTTACCTTCACTTTGGAGGGAGTGTGGCATTCTTGAGATTCCATCCTGCCATTTATTGTGGATGTATCTAAGGTCTTTTGATCATTGTCAGATCTTGTTGATGAGAACTACTAAAATATGTTGGAAATGCATAAAGATGTATTTAGGATGAGTGCAATTATAAAACTCACTGCATTGCCACTGTTTAGTAGACAGCTTCCCAGTGCTGAACTGGGAAGCTCTTTTCAGCATTTTCTAACAAGATTTGCCCCAATCCCTACTTGCCCCAATCTTGTGGAGGTCATTTTGTCTCTCTTTCCGCTCCTATTTTGCATCTTACAGTATGTACAGATATTCTCTGTCCCAGGAGTGATTTAGCTCTGCTTGTTCCCAGACTTTTTTTCTTCCAGGAGTAGCCATTTTTACTGTGGGAAAAAGAACCTGAACATTTGTACACTCACGGGTTTCCACTGAGAGTAGCAACTCTGTAAAGGGCCTTAAAAAGCTCCTCAGACCAGAAGCTGCCTCTTACTGAGCCTAAGAAGATTGCCTAGCATAGTGAGACTCCAGCATTGTCTGGGTCCCTGAGGTGCTACATTAATGCAAAAAATAATAAAATCATCCCTGCATTTGTACTTTTAATGTACACTGGAGTCATAGGGACAGAGCTCTAGCTTTGACACACTTTGGTATCATGTATGTAAGGCAAATGTTGGAGTAATGTGGTAGCCATGACTGTCCAGGAATTATGCGAATCAAGGATCTTTGTGGGTGGTATCTTTTATTGGATAAGTAACTGCATGGCTGGGATAAAGTTAGATGAGCTTTGGAATGCAGGGCATCCTTCATCAGGTCAACTGATGAAGATGACCTATTTCTGTAGGAATATTGATGGCATTTAAAATTATTAAAGACATTACTAGTATATTATTAAAGAAAGAGAACAACTTGTAGCATGGGATAAGCACTGAGAGAAAATCACATTGTAACATAGTCGTTTTAAGGGATCTACTAATGACCTTGTTTGAATCAATAATGACTTAAACCCAACTGTCTAATATCCTTGTAGTATCGAGTAAAAAATGTTTATTGTTAACATGTAAAATATATTTTTATATATAGGGTAAATTTTCATGTTGGTTCTCACTTTATTACTACAGAAAATAGGTCATTTTGGTTGCAAAAGGGAGTAATGTCATTACTGAAGAAGGAAATTTGGAAAGCAAGATTATATTATTTCATGTGTCATATGAAAGTTATGTTCTGTGGCGTCACTTCCTGCTCCTTTTGTGTAAGAAGTAGCAAAGGTATAGATCTTGCCACTAGCCAAATGAATGAATAGTAATGTTAATTTCCATTGTTGACCAGGTGCTTAATGCTTGAGCAGTCTATTTCCATATGTGTTTTGAATACATAGATTCTAATTGAACCTTGCATGTAACCAGTCAGCATTCATATAACCAATGCATGCGATTTTGTGGATTACAAGCAAAGTTAAGAGCCTATCTTCCATTAAAAAAACCCTAAACTATAAGAATGTTTTCTTAAAAAAAAATTGATGCCTTACATCTGCTTCATCTTTATTATAGCAAATTTCCCTTGGGTTCTTATGTATATTTGGTATTGGAAAAAGTAAATCTATATTTTAAATATAACATGCACAAACTTAATGAGAAAATGTTCTTGAAACACGACTCTAAGGACATTTTCAGTATTTCATGAATATATCTGAAAAATATTCAGATACAACCCTTTACACATGTAAATTGACATTCTTGTTTCTTTAGTTTAGTTCCTTTAGACATTTAGTTTTTTACTTTGAATACACAATGCAACATTTTGTGTACCTCTGCAGATAAGGTATACTGAAAATTTGGTGATATATCATATTTACATAGGATGTTATCAGCATACTGTAAGTTTGGCCTCTTTGAATTGTTTCATGAACAACATGGAAAAACACATTTAATTTCATAATCTGAATGACATATGAGTGTTTATTCCAAAAAAATGGCTTTATCTGGCTTTTGGCCAATTAAGCATTTCCAGACTAGCAGCAGTACTATTCTTTCTAACTGACCTCATCAATGAACTGAAATATGGATTCTTTTTTTTCTTATGGAAATATGGATTTCTTTTTTTAACAGACATTTTTCACTATTCAAAACTATAATAGCTTAATCTTTGGGCATCCTTTAAAAACCCACTACAGTGTGTATGCACGTGTATTTGTGGTGTTTAATTTGAAATGCATTTATTTATCACATACTGGAATACCCCAGGCCACCTATTAACTGTTGTGTACATTTTGTTAGTTAAATATGAGAATAGGAAGCACATTATGAATTGCATATAACTTGTCTTCTATCCATTCATATTAATCTGTATTCTGTAGCCCATGTTTCACTTATTCCTTTTCTATTTCTTTAATTTTGATGCTATTAAAAATGGCTGCATTCACATTATGGACTGTCCCCTGGTAAGTAACTGAAGACTTTTCAAAAGGGCCAACCAATGAAATTCAGTATCTTCTCTACCATGCCATTTTGGGGACCTGCACCCTCCTCCTCCAAATCAAAACCAGAAATGGCCAGTATGCAAGCTTTACCCTGAGGTTTTCTCTTGAATGTCAGATGTCAGCAGCCTGGAGGTCAGAGGCCAAGGCCCCCCCACCCTCCCAGTTGGGTGGATGGGACAGGCTGGTGGTGTGCCCTGTCCATGGTGGCCTCGGGTTCTCCTCTTGGGGATCGTTTGCTGCTTCAAAATCCCTTCTTTTGTATCCTTTTTCCCTCTGTGATGACTCTTTTCCTCCCTGGCCATCACTGATTGGTCTCCCTGTTGTCATCATACTGTCCACGTTCTGTACTGTTAGCATAGTCCTTTGTTTTACAAACCCATACAGGTGCACATCTTAATTTAGCCTTTTTCTGGGCGTCCTAATTTGGTTCATCTACCAAAACTGGAAATCTCAAGGGCACTGTGACCTGGTGCCACCTTATCTTATGTTACGGAACAGTGTAGTACATGACTTCAATTCCCAGCCTGTGTGTCTGCTTGCTGCTTGCCTGTATCAGACACAGCAGGCCTTGAAGAAACTTTTTCACAGACAGGCTTTTTAAAAATCAGTTAACCCTTGCTGTTGTCCTGGATATTCTAATGCATATCTACTTTACCTATAAGCCAGAAGCAAACCTCTAAACACCATTTTCCAGCCATCAGAAATGTGATATGTAAAATTTCAGGAGGATCTTTTGTAAGGGCAACTTAGAAGAGAAAAGTAAAAATCACACCAATTATGGGATGCTCTTTCTGCCCTAATTATGAATTCCTAGTAAACACTGGGTGCATCTATACAAAACTCTTTACTGTGGAACTGACTAATTAGCTCCGCAGTAAAACATCACCATGTGGCACTATATTGCAGTAAACTAATTAACTCCGCTGTAGGATAGTACTGAACAACATAAGTACTATCCTACAGCAGAGTAGTTCTGTTCAGCGAAATGCATGTGTAGATAGATGGTGATGGGGCTGGCTGGACACGAGATGCTACAGTGCAGGGGCTGTCTGCTGGCTAGCCCTGCACTGTAGCACCCTCATGCCCCAGCCAGCCCCTCCACAGCATGTTGAGCTGATGGGGGGCAGCTCCAGGCTGGAAGGCTGACCCCCTGGACTTCCTGCCAGGGCTGCACCACCCCAGCTTAACATGCTATGATCCCAGGCACACATGTAAACACTGTGCCTGGAGCATTAAACTCTAGCACGAACTACACTGGAGTTTATTCCATCACATTAATATCACATGTAAATGCACCCACTAACAGCCCATATGTTTTGCATTGTAGTCAAGTCAGAAGTGTGAAATGATTAAAAAAAAACTGCACTTAAAAATAGAGTTTTTTAAGTCTATTCCAGATATAACATTATATGTCACATGCATAATAAACATGAATATCTATTTCATATTTAGCAATATATTGGTACTGGTAAAATGTATTTTTTACCTCTCAGAAGATGAAAAGGTTACTCCTAAAATCAAGCATTTGATACACTGTAAGTAAACTTTGCATTATTATTTTTGTCTGCTCTTTGCCAAATGTGTGATGCTTATCACAGCATGGTTTCTTTATTCAGATCAAGTTAATAAACCAGGCTATAAGTAATTCTGCCTTTTTTTTGCACTCTGAACATTATATCCACTCTAAGATGACCATGTTTGTGTCTCCACAATTGAAAAGGATTGGGAAAGGTGG